AGATGGAGTCTTGTTCAGCCGCCAAGGCTGAAGTGCAGTGGCGCAATCTGGGCTCACTGCAACCACTGTCTCCTGGATTCAACCTCCCGAGTAGTTGGGATTACAGGCAAATGCCATCATGCCTGGCTAATTTTTGTATTTTCGTAGAGATGGGGTTTCACCATGTTGGTCAGGCTGGTCTTGAACTCCCGACCTCAGGTGATCAGCCCACCTTGGCCTCCAAAGTGCTTGGATTACAGGCATGAGCCACCGCGCCCGGCCAATTTTTGTATTTTTTTAGTAGAGACAGGGTTTCACCATGTTGTCCAGGCTGGTCTCAAACTCCTGACCTCAGGTGATCCGCCCACCTCGGCCTCCCAAAGTAGTGCTGGGATTACAGCCATGAGCCACTGTGCCCAGCCAATCTTTTTTTTTTTTTTGGTAGAGATGGGGCTTTGTCATGTTGGCAAGGCTTATCTCAAACTTTGGGCTCAAATGATCTACCTACCTTGGACTTTCAAAGTGCTGGAATTACAGGTGTGAGCCACTGTGCTTGGCCTGAAATTCAAATGCAATTGGGCATGCTATATTTTTATTTGCTAAATATGCTAACCCTACCAGTACTCTGCTTTCAGGGTTTTTTTTTTTTTTTTTTTTTTAAGATGGAGTTTCACTCTTGTTGCCCAGGCTGGACTGCAATGGTGCGATCTCGGCTCACTGCAACCCCCACCTCCTGGGTTCAAGCGATTCTCCTGCCTCACCCTCCCTAGCAGCTGGGATTATAGGTGCCTGCCACCACACCTGATTAATTTTTTTTTGTATTTTTAGTAGAGACGGAGGTTTCACCATGTTGGTCAGGCTGGTCATGAACTCCTGACCTCAGGTGATTCACTCGCTTCAGCCTCCCAAAGTGCTGGGATTACAGGCATGAGCCACCGTGCCCAGCCTGCTTTCAGGTTTTGAAGATGGCAGCCAATGCTTTTGAATTGTCTGATTTTATAAGAGGAGTTTTTTTTTTGATCTTGATCAAAAAAAGTCTTGATCTGTTGCCCAGGCTGGAGTATGGTGGCACAATCTAGGCTCACTGCAACCTCCTCCTCCTCCTCCTACCAGGTTAAAGCAATCTTATGCCTCCGCTTCCTGAATAGCTGGGATTACAGGCACGTGCCAGCATGCCTAGCTAATTTTTGTATTTTTAGTAGAGAAGGGGTTTCACCATGTTGTCCAGCCTGGTCTCGACCTCCTAACCTCAGATGATCCACCCACCTTGGCCTCCCAAAGTGGTGGGATTACGGGCATGAGCCACTGCACCCGGGGTAAACAGGGATTTTAAAATAGTTTTGTGTGTTTGCAAATATCTTTTTCTGGAGAGTTGGTTGACATTCTGTCATGTTTAGTTTTTTAGGCTATGAAACCTCTAAAAGCGCTCTAACTCTCTTCTGCTTTTCTCATACCCTAGGGTATTTACCTTAGTGGAAAACAGCATAGGTTAATATCAACTGACTCCATAAAAACCAACTTGTCCCTTTAAATATGCCAAATACTTTAAATACTTTTTTCAATATTAAATATCCATGTTCAGAATATGGTGGTAATTATGCCACATTTAATAAGAGGAATTACTTTGAGTGTGATGTTGGCAAGATTATGTCAAGTAGCAGCCGAAGGCTGATAGACCACACTGGCAAACTAATGACATTTTTATCTTTCTTTCTTTGCCACTGTTACTATATTAATATACTTTTAGCATTTCCACTCACCTGAAAATGATGCGGGCAGACATTATAAACCTGATTCTGCCACTCCTGCAAATATCAAAGCTTAAATATTTTAATGGGGAGAAAAAAGAACGCTATGAAGAATAAATGCTCATAGGACTTTAATCCAGAATATCCCAACAGGTGCAGTGGCTCATGCCTGTAATCCCACCACTTTGAGAGGCCCAGGAGGGCAGATCACCTGAGATCAGGAGTTTGAGACCAGCCTGGCCAACATGGTGAAACCCCATCTCAATAAAAATATAAAAAGTAGTGAGGCATAGTGTCAGGTGCCTGTTGTTCTAGCTACTCAGGAGGCTAAGGCAGGAGAATCACTTGAACCTGGGAGGTGGAGGCTGCAGTGAGCCAAGATTGCACCACTACACTCCAGCCTGGGCAACAGAGTGAGACCCTGTCTCAAA